ACTCACTTGTCCCGCACTGACTCGGGGCTGATTCCCCAGGTTCTAGTATCAGCCGTAGCGGCTGGTATTCTTAGGCAGATACTATAGCCAGCAAAGTCAATTAAGACTGGACTTGTCATTTCTGGTTCATTAGCCGTTGTCAGCCAGTCATACCCAACCCCAACTGATGCACCAGCCGAGCCGAGTTTGACAACACACCCGTTATAATCTTCCGCCTGGAAGTGCAAGGGAGGTTTACTGCAGGCCCAAGTATAGGGAGGGTACGTCTTTTTCTTCTTTATCATAAAAATACCTATGTACTCGATAGAAAGATTTATACATAGAGCATGGAATGCACGACACTGCTGTACTGTTTATAATGCCTATGAGTAACCGTTATAATTTTAATAACGGTATTACTATAATCGATAAATTTTTGTCCAAAAGCAGCAACCGGAGACAAGAGGGACCGAGCCGGCCACCTGCGATTTGCCAGCCATACTCCAAGCGCATGTTAGCATAAAGCAGACTCGTTGATCTGCGAATGCTTGGCTCAACAATTAACACATGAGTGACACCTTAGGCCAAGAAATTTGCTTGACAGGCTGTTGTATAGCGACCTTTTATGATGAAGAAAAGATACGGACACAAACGAGGGCAGCCTTAATGCTAATTTTTAGCTTAAAAGCTAGTCTTACTCAAACTTTTGGTTTTACCAATCTGGGCTACAATATTCAGTAATCTAACTTGGACAGCCCGCTCTACCTCTTATTTGTCACTATTTACTAGCTGTTAGTTGTTGCCGACGAATAACCCAGATTTAGGTGAACACCACAACAGAACGAGCAGGCTCTATATTGCAACCAGACATATAAAAGATCCCGTGACAAGAGTTATTTTACTGGTAATAGGACTTTCGTCGCTCAGGCTATGTAACATGACACAATCCAGTAGGTGGGGATGAACTGTTGGCGAAATGCTATTGTAGCAGGATTGTTCCTTTGTTTTTCAACTTAGTAGAGTTTACGGGAATCGTGCCTGCCGTCCGGGTACTCGTGAAATTATTTATCGTGTCTCCGCGAAGCGGTAGTTGGGAGAATCATCCATTTGTCAGAACGCACTCTCGTCCCTATAACAGGCCACACAAAAAATGTCCTTAGTCAGCATGGGAGCTTCAACAGTGCGAATCAGGTGTTACTGCGAATTTACACCCATAAAGAATGCCAGAAAAGAGGGTGACAGGCCGGGGAACGGGGTCCTGCCCCACCAGCAACCTTGACCCTGTTCAGGCTCCGACATTGTTTACATGGCCAGTATACTATGTTGAGTAAGGGAGAACGTGCGCTAAATGCTGTGCAATTTACTATCACTATCAACTAATTCGCAGGCATACTATCGTACTATCTTCTCTGCATTGAGCCTCTAATATACAATTTACTTATTATTTATCCTGCTGTGGGGCAGGCGATGGATCTCGTCGAAATTGGCAGAAAAAATGTCTCCTAACTTAAACAGTAATCGCGCTCGGTAATTATGTTTCTTAAAATCACGTAATCCGCCGTTGTTGGGAAAAAATTCCTTTAATTTTAGTTTGCTGGCAACTGGTGAGACGCACGTGTTGGAACAAAATATCTCGTTCGCCAGAGTTTATTTGCACTTCGTCTGGATTTTCACTGGGTGTCCCTGATTTGCAATGAATGTGCGGTATATTCGAAAGCATACTTTCTTTGGGGATCCAGGAAAGTCTTCGCTTATGCAGAGGATGAGCAGATACACAGAAGAAACATGTAATGAGTCAAAGTTCTGAAGTATTGGGATTATTTTCAGCAGTGTATGGGAGAACTTTATCTTATCAGAAAACGCAATTGGAGCATTAATTCCCAGAGGAGAATACATTAATTATTCACCAAACTGAGAAGTTATTAACTCTGCTTGAATAACAGAATACTTTACGAGTAATCCGGAGAATCGGTTGTTTGACTCAGTCTGGCTGGCCTCCCTTAGTCAACGTTATTTTCCTTTTGAAATAATTGCTACTTATTGTAGTTAATAGCTATAATACGTTAACTTAATTCAACTCATCATGCTTCATCTCCCAATCGGTCTATTTCTATTCGATAGGCCGCAATATGTCAATCGTTACCAATTAATCTGTCCCCGTGCTCTTTGAGCTGCATGCTTAACTATGAACAGCCAAAGTTATGATTTCTGGAAGTTTAGTAATACGTTCGAATTCTTGCATTTTGTTGATTCTACGTAAGGTTGTGTTCAAGGCGGTTATGCGAGAAGTTTATTTTTGAAATGTCATTGATCTGCTGCAAAAGTAAACCGAAGACTGGAGTTATTTGATTCGAAAATATATCCCTCATGATCCTCCGATACTATAATAAACAAAAGTCTTCAGTTTTTTAAAATAAATTTACCTCTAGGGCAAGGATCCCGATCAGCGCTGGAAAATATGTTTCGAGGTTAGTGCTCAGGAGCAGTTACATCCGTTTCGGATAAAAATATTCTTTTGTAATCTGCCTGACATCTGCTTGAATAAGTCGAGCGGCCGGAAAGCAAAACTTCTTATTTTTCGCTTTTGAATAAAGCAAAATCCTGCATAACCAAGTTGCGTTCTCTCACTATTTTTTCTCCTTTTTTGAATACTCTCAGTCAAGTATTCGGTTGGGAACTTGTTAAAAATTAAGCTACCACTAAAGAGAACGATTCATCATGTGTGTTACAAAAGATTGATATAGTCTGGAATACTTCGAAAATAGAAATAAGACACATTCCGAATATGTGGTTAATGAATTAGTTTATATTTCAGTGAATTAGACACTTCTTCTATAAACCGATTTGCATGTGAACCAACGTCAAAGCGTAACCGAAGTTCAGAGCATCAAACAGTCAGTAAATCAGTCTATTGAAAAGCCTAATAGTAGCAGTCACACTAGCGTGTATTCTTACCTTCTGAGAATCATGCATGAATCACGTACCGTAACTACTTCCACTAAAATATGTAGACTAAAGCTCTCGAGGGAAGTATTTCTGATCCCTATATTTTGTTCGATAGGGGGACATCGTTGGGTAGCATATCGTTGGCGTATATTCCATTTCCCGGTTTGGCGTATCTCAATACATATATATATATATATATATATATCATTGTCATATATATATAC